ATAAACTCCACTGTTAAATTAGACAGACAATCGGGGCTTCCATTTGCTTCCATGTCATATTTAAGCTTTCTTATTTATTTATTTATTTATTTATCGTGTCAGGAGCAAACCAAACAGTTGTATTGCATTTTTAAAATAAACAAACAAACAAAACGCAAAGTTTGCAAGCTTGGTAGTGGATTAGATGTCCTTTGACCAGTTGCTGACCACTTGGAGTGCCTCGTGGAATGCACTTCATTGCACAGGCAGTCCCCAAGTTACAAACATCCGACTTACAAACATCCGACTTACAAACATCCGACTTACAAACATCCGACTTACAAACATCCGACTTACAAACATCCGACTTACAAACCACTCGTAGTAACAAACGGGGCTGAGACAACAGGAAGTGAGGGGAATCCGCCCCTCGGAAGGGAAGTCATTCCTGAAAGAGGCATTATCGGGGGGCAAAGGGGACTCCACTGAAGCTTTAGTTCCAATCCTTGTTTCCACAACAAGCTACATTTTCCAAAATCCAATTCTCATGTGGACGGAAAGCGAGGTGCAAGGTGGGATCTTCTGAACAGAGGCACAGGCAGCAAAGGAATCCCCACCGGGGTGCTCACCCTTTCCTAGGCTCTCCAAAGCATCTCTATCTATCTACAAGCCCTGTGAGGAGCAGCTTAAGGAGCTGGGCATGTTTAGCCTGAAGAAGAGAAGGCTGAGAGGAGACACGATGAGAGCCATGTATAAATATGTGAGAGGAAGCCACAGGGAGGAGGAGGGAGCAAGCTTGTTTTCTGCTTCCCTGGAGACTAGGAAGCAAGGGAACAATGGCTTCAAACTACAAGAGTGGAGATTCCATCTGAACATGAGGAAGAACTTCCTGACTGTGAGAGCCGTTCAGCAGTGGAACTCTCTGCCGCGGAGTGTGGTGGAGGCTCCTTCTTTGGAAGCTTTTAAACAGAGGCTGGATGGCCATCTGTCAGGGGTGCTTTGAATGCAATATTCCTGCTTCTTGGCAGAATGGGGTTGGACTGGATGATGGCCCATGAGGTCTCTTCCAACTCTTTGATTCTATCTATCTATCTATCTATCTATCTATCTATCTATTAGGCCTGGTCAATCCATGGTTCTAAAGTACTTACAAAACTAAAGTTCTGGTGGTGAAAATTTCAGAACTCCAACAAAACTTTCAAAATTTAATTATTATTTCATTATTGGTGATTTTTATGATAGAACCAATTAGGAACTGCCATTTATAATGAAATTTTGAGAGTTTTGTTAGAGTTCTGAAATTTTCACCACCAGAACTTGTGGTGTTTTGTAAGTACTTGTAAGTACTTTAGAACCATTGAGAACCATGGATTGACCAGGCCTACTATCTATCTAGGTGAAGGTTTCCTCTTGACATGTCCAACTCTGGGACTCTGGTGCTCATCTCCATTTCTAAGCAGAAGAGTCGGCGTTGTCCATAGACACCTCCAAGGTCAAGTGGCCACTGCAATGACTGCATGGAGAGCTGTTTACTTCCTGCCAGAAGGAGCGGTACCTATTGGTCTACTCACGTCTGCATGTTTTCACACTGCTAGCTTGGCAGAAGCTGGGGCTAACAGTGGAAGCTTCCCCTGCTCCCTGGATTCTAATTGCCGACCTTTTGATCAGCAAGTTCAGCAGCTCAGCGGTCTAACCCACTGCACCACCGAAGGCTCCTATAATATGTGTGTGTGACTGGAATAACACTTTAAAATGTCCCAGTTCCGACTGACAAATAAATTCAACTTAAGAACAAACCCTCAGAAATGTTTGTAACTTGGGGACTGCCTGCATTTTCCCCCTCCCCCCAAAGAATGAACTTCAACTTTTCCTGAAAAGGACCACTCAACAGGGGGAAGAGGGGCCCAGAATGGCCCCAGCCCCCACAGAGGAGCCTTCAGTGGGGTGCAGATTGTGTTTGAGTGTGTGTGTGTATGGGGGGGGGGGGGTCACCTGAGCTGTTTTGCCTCCATTTCCCTCCCCTCCAAAGAGAAAGAGGAGCCACTTGGCCCAAAACTGGACACAGGCGCTTTGACCCCAAAGGAGATCCAGAGATCCAGAGAAGGAAGAGGACCCCTCCCCAAAGAATGCCCCCCTTTGCTCTCAGGCTAGGGAGGGTACCTCATAAGGTCTAACAGGAAAGGACTTTTGAGGAGGGGCAGCTGGTGTGGCCCCCGAGAGGAGGAGCCAGGAGAGAGGGAGGGACGCAGGGCCCTTAATGGGTCTCACCAGGGGCCTCTGGACAGCCAGGGGCCAGAGCAGGGCCTTCCCAGCCCCAGAGAGGCAGGTGGACAAAGCCAGACCACCCCCTCCCCCACTTGGCTTGTGCCCTGGCTCTTCTCCCACCCCACCCCCCTCCTTTTCTGCAATGGGGCTGATTCTGAGAGACAGGGAGGGGCACCACCTGGCCCATCAGGGTCCTTCCAGCCCTCTCTAGCCTCAGTGACTTCTGGCCCAGTTTGGGGGGGGGGAGGGGGGCTGGGGGCTCTTTCAAGGGTTCTCCAAGCTCTCTCTGGGGCTGAACCTGTGGGGCCTGGGCCTGTCCCAGTGAGAGTGACGCTTCCTAGCAAGGCCCCTCATCTGCCAAGATCCCTTCTGCCTACGATCCAGAAGGTCTCGGCCTTTGCTCCTGTCCACCCCTCTGGACACTGCCAGGTTTTGATCAGCAAGTTCAGCAGCTCAGCGGTCTAACCCACTGCACCACCGAGGGCTCCTATAATATGTGTGTGTGACTGGAATAACACTTTAAAATGTCCCAGTTCCGACTGACAAATAAATTCAACTTAAGAACAAACCCTCAGAAATGTTTGTAACTTGGGGACTGCCTGCATTTTCCCCCTCCCCCCAAAGAATGAACTTCAACTTTTCCTGAAAAGGACCACTCAACAGGGGGAAGAGGGGCCCAGAATGGCCCCAGCCCCCACAGAGGAGCCTTCAGTGGGGTGCAGATTGTGTTTGAGTGTGTGTGTGTATGGGGGGGGGGTCACCTGAGCTGTTTTGCCTCCATTTCCCTCCCCTCCAAAGAGAAAGAGGAGCCACTTGGCCCAAAACTGGACACAGGCGCTTTGACCCCAAAGGAGATCCAGAGATCCAGAGAAGGAAGAGGACCCCTCCCCAAAGAATGCCCCCCTTTGCTCTCAGGCTAGGGAGGGTACCTCATAAGGTCTAACAGGAAAGGACTTTTGAGGAGGGGCAGCTGGTGTGGCCCCCGAGAGGAGGAGCCAGGAGAGAGGGAGGGACGCGCAGGGCCCTTAATGGGTCTCACCAGGGGCCTCTGGACAGCCAGGGGCCAGAGCAGGGCCTTCCCAGCCCCAGAGAGGCAGGTGGACAAAGCCAGACCACCCCCTCCCCCACTTGGCTTGTGCCCTGGCTCTTCTCCCACCCCACCCCCCTCCTTTTCTGCAATGGGGCTGATTCTGAGAGACAGGGAGGGGCACCACCTGGCCCATCAGGGTCCTTCCAGCCCTCTCTAGCCTCAGTGACTTCTGGCCCAGTTTGGGGGGGGGGAGGGGGGCTGGGGGCTCTTTCAAGGGTTCTCCAAGCTCTCTCTGGGGCTGAACCTGTGGGGCCTGGGCCTGTCCCAGTGAGAGTGACGCTTCCTAGCAAGGCCCCTCATCTGCCAAGATCCCTTCTGCCTACGATCCAGAAGGTCTCGGCCTTTGCTCCTGTCCACCCCTCTGGACACTGCCAGGTGACCTGCTGACCAAGCCCTGCTTGCTCTAGTCTTGGCAGAAGTGGCCGTACTTGGCCGTTGCTTCCAGTGGGCTTCCGCCCCAAGAATCCTAGAATCCTAGAGTTGGAAGAGACTTTGTGGGCCAACCCCATTCTGCCAAGAAGCGGGACAATCACATTCAAAGCACACACACACACACCCCCCCCCAGAGATGGTGACCCAGCCTCTGTTTCAAAGCCTCCATAGAAGGAGCCTCCACTCCTGGCTCCAGATCTGTATTTCAGAGGGACACGTCCATCTTTTCATGGACCATGTTTTGGGGGGATTGACAGCTCTGGCCAAACTCTGGAAGGAGACTGGACTGTACCCTCCACGGCCCCCTCCACCCTGCAGGCAAAGGAGCCCCCTCTTGAGTGACACATGGACTGGATTCGAACTGCCGAACTTTTGATCATCAGGTTCAGCAGCTCAGCGGTCTAACCCACTGAGGAGAGAAGGGGCCCCTACTTTGGGAGTTGCCGACCCCCCCCCCATTCCTCCACCTCCTCCTGGACTGGCCCTGCTGCCCCCTGAAGGGCCTGGCTGACCCTTTGCTACTTCACTGGACCTCACTTGTGGGAGGAGGGGGGGTCGAGAAGAGGGCAGCCCTGGAGGGGGGGGTTGGGTGGAAGGGGCCCTGCCGGAAGGGGGTGGGGCTGGGGTCATAATGACTCCCCCCAGCCTGTCCCCACAGACACACACTCCTATCCCCCTCAGCTGTCCCCCCCTGGAGTCCTCATGACTCCCCCTTGCACATCCCCACAACTGAGCTTGGCTTCTCTTGTGTTCCCCACAGACATACACTCCCACGCCCCCGCCCCCCAGCTGTGCCCCCCAGGCTTGGGCTGCATCCCAAGGAACAGCTGCCCAGAAAAGCCCCCGGGAGGGGCACCTGCGGAGACCTGGGGAGGGGGCACAGAGGGGGCGGGGGCGCCGGGCATTTCCTCCTCCCAGTGAACAGACTCCAGGCAAAAGTTTCCGAGGGTCCGCCGCCTGGGCTGGCTGCAGAGAAGCCCCCTCCTCACACACTCTGCTCTATCTAGGAGGCCAAAGCTCCCCCCCCCCCCCGAGGATCCAGAGGAATCCGAAGCCCCCCCCCTCCCCGCAAAGGCATCTCCCAGGCGGGGTGAGGGAGGGGCGGCGAAAGGGGACGGGGCGACCCCCCTCGGCGGGGCACCTGTTCGGGGCAAGGCGCGTGTGGGGGGCGGGGCGGGCCAGCCTCTCCCCTCCCTCCCTCCCCCCTCCCTCCGTCCCCCCCCCACTCACTCACCACCCCATGGACCAGGAACTCGAAAAGTTTGCTCTTGGTGGCCTTCCGCGCCCCGCCGGTCACTTCCTCCGCGGCCATGGGTCCGGCTGGGCGAGCCGGGAGAGGAGAGAGAGCGCGACCAGGGAATGAGTTGGGGGGGGGGGGGCGAGGGAAGGCGGGAGGGAGGGAGAGAGGGAGGGGGAGGGAGGGAGGGGCCTGCTTTCTCCGCCTGCCTTCCCTTCCCTTCCTCGCCGCCGCCCCGGCCTCCTCCTCCTCCTCCTCCTTCCTCCGGCCTCTCCCGCCTTCCTGCCTTCCGCCGGCCGAGAGAGAGAGAGAGAGAGAGAGAGAGAGAGAGAGGCCCAGGGGGAGGGCGGAGGGGAGGAGGGGAGGAGGGGAGGGGTCCGCGCGGGGCGCCGCGAGGGACGGCCCCAGGCGGCGGAGCAGAGGCACCAGCTGCGGCCCAAATTCCTCCGCCAAAGAGAGACAGAGAGAGAGAGAGAGAGAGGAGGGGAGGGGAGGGGGAGGGAGGGGGGGGGGAGGGGACTCCTCGGGAGGACACCCCCCCCCCCTCACGCTCAGACCCGGAGACCGGGAAGGAAGGAAGGAAGGAAGGAAGGAAGGAAGGAGAAGAGGAAAGAAGGAAGAGGAGGAGAGGAAGAGAACGAGGAGAGAGAGAGAGGATAGGAAGGAGAAGAAGGGGGAGGAGGGAGGGAGGGAGGCGGAGGGGAGGGGCGGGACCTTCGGAGGACACGCCCTTTGCACTAAGTGTTCGGTGTAGACGGGGAAGGGGGGGGGAGGGGGGGGGAGGGGAGGAAAGAAGGAAGGGAAGAATGGAGGAAGGGGGCTCTTTCCCTCCCGGCCGCACAAAGGCTCCTCCCCCCCCTCCCCTTCTCCCCCCCCCCTCGGACGCCGCGCCCTCCCTCCCTCCCTCCCTCCCTCCTCCGCCGCTCCGCCTCCTCTCCCAGGTCAGCCCCCCCCCGACGAGAGCCCCCCCCCCGCGACGCCCCCTCCCTCCCTCTGTCCCGCCCTCCAGAGGACAGAGACCCGACTCCCCACCACGAGAGGAAAGGCATGGGATCCGGTTCCCCCCCCTCCCTCCCCTCCGCAACGGGGGGGGGGCACTTGCCGTCCTTCCCGGCGCCGCGGTGACCGGCATCTCCGGCGCTGGTCTCCCTGGCAACAGAGGCGGCGTTGCCAGGTAACGGGAGGGGCGTGGTACCCAAGGGAGGCTCGAGAGGGAGGGAGGGAGGGGTGTACGCCCCTTTGGAGGGCGGGGCTGCGGAGAGACTTCGCGCAGGAAGGAAGGAAGGAAGGAGGGAGGGAGGGAGGGAGGGAAAAGACCCCTCCTCCGCGGCCCCCTTGGCGCGGGGGGGGTTGTCTCCTCGCCCGACTCCACCCCCTTGCCCCCCTCCCTGGACCACGGGGCCCCTCTCGGAGGGAGGGAGGGAGGGAAGGAGGGGAGGGCGCATGCGCAGACTTCTCTTGTCTCTCCCGTGAAGGTCAGTCAAGCGGACGGCGGGAGGGGGGAGGGACGGAGGGGGAGGGACGGGGGAGGGGCTTCCGCTCTCCCGCGCCGGGAAACGGAGGCTCCGGGACACGCGCCGCCTCCCACGAGAAGGGAGGGAAGAACCTTCGGACCCCCCTCCGGACCCCCCCCCCCAGCATAGACCTCCAAGACGGGGGGGGGATCCCGCAGCCAAGCCAGAAGCCCCTTCCCCGCAGGACGGGCCCTGCCCCGAAGGGAAGAGCGGTGTCGGTGGGGCCGAGGGGGAGGCGGCGTGGTCCCTCTTGCCCCCCCCCGCCCCGCCCCTCCGGACCTCCTCCGCCCTGCCCGTCTCCCGGGATGTTGCTGACAGAGCGGGGCCGGCACGGGGCGGAGAGGCCGGAGGGAGCCAAACAGGAGAGAGAGGGCGGCTTGGGCTCTTTGGCGGTCGCCACATCACACTCGGGGCTCCTCAGACCCCTTCTGGACCCCTTCCCCATGGAGGAGGCCCAGGAGATCCCTTTGCCCAACAGCCGGGTTTTTCTTTTCTCCTCCGCCAGGAGTCACTTGAGAAACTGCAAGTTGCTTCTGGTGTGAGAGAAATTGTTGCCCTCAAGGACGTTGCCCAGAGGATGTTGGTACGGGCGCAGCTGGTGCACAAGTCTTAACTGTGCGAATGCTCCCCTGGCCACTGCCAAGACCTGGCCTTCCAGGCTCAGCGATGAGTCCAGGGTCACTCCCAAGCTGCGAACCTGCATTGTCTTCAGGGGGAGTGCGACCCCTTCCGTCCAGCACAGGCTGTAACCCTATGCCCTGTTCAATGGCCTTACGACTGACCAGTAGGACCTCTGTCTTCTCTGGATTCAATTTCAATTTGTTAGCTCTCATCCAGTTCAATACAGCAGCCAAGCATCGAGTCAAGGTCTGGACAGCCTCCTAGGTGACAGGTGAGAAGGAGTGATAGAGTTGGACGTCATCTGCGTACAGATAACACCTTACTCTGAAACTCCGGGTGATCTCCCCCAGCGGCTTCATGTAGATATTAAACAGCATGGGAGACAGTACTGAACCCTGAGGGACTCCACAAGACAACAGTTGTGGAGCCGAACAGGTGTCACCCAATTACACCTTCTGGGACCAACCCTGCAGTGGCTCCAGGAAGGACTGGAGACACTGCAGAGCAGTACCTCCAAGTCCCATTCTTGCGAGGCGTCCCAGAAGGATACCGTGGTCGATGGTATCGAAGGCCGCTGAGAGGTCCAGCAGAACTAACAGGGACACACTCCCCCTGTCAAGCTCCTGGCATAGATCATCTACTAAGGCGACCAAGGCTGTCTCAGTCCCATGTCCCGGCCTAAAGCCAGACTGTGCCGGGTCTAGATAATCAGTGTCTACCAAGAACCCCTGGAGTTGTGAAGCCACCACATGTTCCATGACTTTGCCCAAATAGGGAATACTGGAAGCTGGCCGATGGTTGACATTGAGTGGGGTGCAGTGATGGTTTTTTCAACAGCGGTTTAATAATAGCCTGTTTTAGTCTGGCTGGAATCTTGCCCTCCTGTTTGGAGGCATTAACCACCACCTTCACCCACTCTGCCAAACCTCCGCTGGCCTCTTTTATCAGCCAGGATGGGCAGGGGTCTAGGATGCATGTGGTAGTCCTCGCTTCTCCAAGGATCTTGTCCACGTCCTCGAGCTGAACCAACTGAAATGAATCCATCAAAACCAGACAAGCAGATGCTTGTGTCACATCCTCAGAGACTGCAATTAACGTGGTGTCTAACTCAGAATGTATCAGAGCAACTTTTTTCGCAAACAACCGAGCACAAGCTTAACAGCGAGCTGCCGAGTTGTCAGGACTCCCGTCCTGTGAGGCGGGCTTTAACAGGCCTCTGACAACTCGGAACAGCTCAGCTGGACGGTTTTTAGCAGACACAACATTGGCCGCAATAAATGTTTTCTGTGCAGCCTTTACTGCCACATCATAGGTCCTTAAAAAGGAACCCAGACGTGCTCGGGCTGATCTGCTACGCTTCTGGCGCCACACGCACTCTAGCCTCCTCTTCTTTCGCTCCATCACTGCCAAGGAGTGAACATCAGTGAACCAAGGAGCTGGTTTAGCTCAGTTACTCAAGAGGGGGCATTCTGGAGCGATCGGGTCTATTGCCCTGGTCATCTCCCTGTCCCAGAGAAAGACCAGGGCCTTGACAGGGTCACTTACTGAGGAGGCGGGAAAATCCCCAAGAGCCATCAGGAATCGATTTGGTGCCATAAGTCTCCTGGGTGGACTTTTTTAGTGGGTCCACCACCCCTGCGGAGGTGGAAAAGCGCAGTAAGTCCCTTTGCCTACCAAGCTAGCAACACACTCTATCTATCTATCTATCTATCTATCTATCTATCTATCTATCTATAGAAAGGATATTCATCCAGCATGACTTGTTTTTGAGAAATCTGTGCTAATGTCCGCATGGCATCCCTTCGAAATGCTTATAGATAGTTCTAGAGTCTTTCTTTCCTGGTAGGTCTTGATGCCAGGCCGAGTGGGCAGTCCCTTTTGAAGAGGGGGCCACATTTGCCCTCCTCCAGCCTGTGGGAATGCCCAAAGGTGACGGCCAGTGGTCCTAAAATGACTCCTGCTCATTCTTTCCATATTCTTGGATGGTGTTCACCTGCTTCTGGAGATAATGGTTTCATTGAGATTAGCCAGGTATCCTTGTCCTGCCTTTACCTGTTCTGTGCTGCATTTCCCCCATTGCTTCATAGAATCATAGAATCAAAGAGTTGGAAGAGACCTCATGGGCCGTCCAGTCCAACCCCATTCTGCCAAGAAGCAGGTATATTGCATTCAAATCACCCCTGACAGATGGCCATCCAGCCCTCTGTTTAAAAGCTTCCAAAGAAGGAGCCTCCACCACACTCCGGGGCAGAGAGTTCCACTGCTGAACGGCTCTCACAGTCAGGAAGTTCTTCCTCATGTTCAGATGGAATCTCCTCTCTTGTAGTTTGAAGCCATTGTTCCATTGCGTCCTAGTCTCCAAGGAAGCAGAAAGGAAGCTTGCTCCCTCCTCCTCCTCCCTGTGGCTTCCTCTCACATATTTATACATGGCTATCATATCTCCTCTCAGCCTTCTCTTCTTCAGGCTAAACATGCCCAGTTCCCTAAGCCGCTCCTCATAGGGCTTGTTCTCCAGACCCTTGATCATTTTAGTCGCCCTCCTCTGGACACATTCCAGCTTGTCAATATCTCTCTTGAATTGTGGTGCCCAGAATTGGACACAATATTCCAGATGTGGTCTAACCAAAGCAGAATAGAGCATGGGGAGCATTACTTCCTTAGATCTAGACACTATGCTCCATTGACTCCATCTTCCCCAAGTAGAGTGGCGTTGCTCTCAGACTTCTCCCAAAAGGTAAAGAACCTGTGGAACACCTTGGCCTTTCCTCTGACCCACTGGCCTTCCTTCCACCGTCTTGTTCAGGCCGTGGCCCCACTCTTTCCTCCTCCTTCTTCCTTTTGCTCCCCAAACCTCCTCTGAACTCATTCTGCGCTTTGGCCTTTCTGGCTTTCTCCCTACATCCTGTGTTCCATCACAGAGACAGCACACCCCTGGAGCCATCCATCTGGTCAGACCCAGGCCCAGCCTCCTTGGCGTCTTGGCAGGATGAGC